TTTTTACTGCTTTTTGGTGATTTTTGCTTCTTTTATTTTATTTATTTTTATTCTTTTCGTCTCCAGAATGTTCTGGGACTTATTTAGTTTTAATCCTTTATTATCTTTAATTTTGTTGTTTAGTTTGAATGATCTGTTTCAGATCATCTTAGCGAGCCTGTTTGTCATTAACAGGTTTAAACCTTAAGCTCAATGAGCCCACTGCAAGTCAACGTTTCCGTGGCCCAAACCAATTTATAGTATTAGGACGTGACCTGAAACTTTAAAGTAAGATAAATAAATAAATAAAAGATGAAAGACAAAGTAGTAATAAAATAAAATAAAATAAATTAATAAATAAGAAAACTAAAACTCATATAAAAACGTAGTGTCTACAGTGTAAATAATGGAGACACTTTGTCATTTTCGTTTCACAAATTCATACAAAAACCAGTTACAAGTTATAGCATTATGGCAAAGCAAGGCACTGTCATTTGAGTCAAACCATTAAAATATAGCTCAGAAAAAGATAATGTTTCGAGGAAGGTTCAAAAGCTTGGACGCAATATTTCCCCCCTAACTTGGACCAAGTATTACTCCAACATTTAACTAAGGCATTACACAAATTTTGTCCAAATAATTGAAAAAAAAAAAAGACTTTTTATCAACAAGAAGTAAAATAGGGGGAAATAAAAGCTTAACCCAACGGGGCAGCACTTATCTGAGACTTTTAGTATATGGTTTGAATCAAAAGGTTTAATCCAATAAGATAACATTAAGATCCACTTCTTAATAATTGTATAATATTCATTTCTAATTGTGTGAAATATTAATGATAGGGTAATTTATAACATCCCCCTTACAGCTTTTCTAGTATACGTGTTTCCACAGTGAACACTCTCTCCCTTGAAACCTCCGACCAAATTAAATCTTATCAAATCTCACATCGAAAAAGGATATTAAGTAATATTTTTTCTTTGAAAAGGTACTACTTCCATCTTATATTGTATGTGCATGTTTTTAATGTTTTAAAGTTATGTACTATTTTCTTAATAAATCTTATTTTCTTATCTTTCTAATTTATGTTACTTTTTTTTTGTTTTTTACTTTTTTCACATTGAAAAAGCCATGGAGCATCAATTTATAAGAAAATTAAAAAAAAAACTTATTACAAAATACGCTATAGACATAACATTTTTTTTCATTTCAGTGAAAATTAAATAAAAATGAGTTGTTTTTTAAATTTGACAAAACTTGTTTTTCACCAATTTGTCAAGGGGATTTTGTAATTAACTTTAATGGGCTTGTCAAAAAAAATTAACTTTAATGGATATGGATTTAAATATTTTCATTGTAATTAACCTTAATAGATATGGATTAAATATTTGCAAGATTAAGGGATTATTATCCAATATATAGTAGGTGGAGTTTCTTTAACTCTGCTAACGAGTTTAAGAGGTTGACGAGTATCCATTTAAGGAATTTTAAAAAAAAAATCAATTATTTAATTGTTAAACGGCACATGACAATCAGAGGAATCTATGAGTTGGATCCGGTCGCATCAATCTCAATTTTTTATTAAAATTTTAAATATATTTTAAAATTAAATTTAAAATGTAATATTTATTAACATCACAATAGTCTCCGACCTGGAAAATCTTGCCCAAGCTGATCTCACTCGAAGACAAGTCATATAAACTGTTAATGGAGTTAAAAAACTCTATCATCAATGTATAGAATAATAATTGTTATATTATTATATTTGAAAACATGAATTTAAAATGATGTTTTATAAATAATGAGGAAATTGATATTCTCCAAGAGTTTTATCACTCATTTATCCATTCTTTCAAATTCGAAATTCCAATTTCAACCTAGATTTGTTTTCTTTTCTTGATTTATCATTATTATACAACGCGTCAATGCATTAACTAAAATGAAATATTTTTAAATCAAAATATTTATCAAATCCTTGTACTCATACATTTTATTTAATTTAATCTATATACTCAAAATCGAAATAATTTAATCCCTTAATTTTGAAAATTATTTCAATTTGATTCCTACTCTAACAACATCTAATTTTGCAATTCAAGAAAATAACGTCAACGCTAATGCAACACTGACGTGACATATTTTAATAACGTGATATCTACATAATGACATGACATGTCACATGATATTAACATGATGATATGATATGACATGCCAAGTCATCATTTTGGTATCATGTTATCAAAATGTACCACATCAATACTGACATCATCCCTTTTAACGAAAAAATTGAATATTGTTAGAGAGAAGAACTAAATTGAAATAATTCTCAAAATGAAAAACTAAATTGTTTCGATTTTAAGTACAATGACTAAATTGAACAAAATACATAAATATAGTGGATATTTTGATCAAATTCTTAATAGTTTTTTTTTTTTTTACAATTTTAGACTAATTATGTGATTATAAATGCTATTTGAATGATGAGTAGAAGGGGTACTTCCTAACAAATATATGTATATATATTATGTTATGTGCGAAGTTTAGAGGAGAAAGGATTTGTTCTTAAACCTCTACCCACATTATTAATGAGGGAGAACAGCTGAGAAATTAAATCGGAATTCTTACTCAGTAATCAATATTCACATACTCAAGTTAGGTTGATTATATTGTTAAAATTAGCCAATAGTCAGAAGATTACGTGGAACTTCGGACAAAAACTTAAAGAGCTTTTAAATCATTAAACTCCCAAATTACATTGTGTTTGACATTTTTCTTTCTTGAGTGTTGTTTCCTTTATGGCATGATTGTTTTCTGATTCATTTCTAGATGAACGAAATAACTCGCTAATTATGTTTAATTTTTTTCTGATAAAAAGATTATAAAAGAAGAAAAAACGCATGGTATAATAGTCAATAATACCTGACCTCACGATTAGAGGTTGGGTTATACCAATCAATAACTACCAAGAGTCATTGACGTCTATCTCAAAAGGAAGAGAAAACTTAAAACAAAGAAAAAAAAAAAGAGGTTCCTAACCATTCAATCATTAATTAATTACTTGCTGTTGATGGAGTTTTTACGTAATATTATATATATATACACACACACAAAGACGTAGACCCTTACTTAGTTGAATCGTGCATTAACCGTGCTTGTGTGCATTTTATTCCAACAAAAGCTAGCAAAAGGAGAACGAGTCTCCTTTTCTTGTCTGATATGAATTGATTTGAAAACTATATATACCTATAGAAATTATTTTTATTAGCCAAGTCTATTAACTTGCCAGCTGCAGATTCAACTTTATAATTAGTGTTTGCAAAATTTAGACCTAAAGAAGTAGTTTTCAGGACCCAAAATTGACAAATTTTTTATGTACAGTTGGACAAAGTCTGGGGGAGGAGTTAACTCTCTCCAGTTGAATTGTCCAACAAACATCTATTCTACCTTTTCACAATTGAATAATTCTTTTCAACTTGCTTCTTTTTCCTTTTTTTTTTTTTGCACAATAAAATATTTTATGAAATAAAATATTCAATTTTCTTTTGTGTTTTAGGGAGATATCTAAGGAAGGAGCTATGTTCAAATCTGTATCCTCTTAATGATGCTAACGACCATCAAACTAAGTTTCATTTTTTATATTAAATTAATTTTTTTGTACAACTATATCTAATGAAAACACTAGTCTGTCTCCGTTTACCGAGTGCATTCTCTTCCTCGAAAGAAAAAGAAAAATTTTGCCTCATGTAATTAACAATGACTTGAGATTTGTTCAATTAATCATTGTCATGATTGGTTTCAAAAAAAAAAACAATAGAACAAATGGTTAGTCTAATTAGGGAAATTTCAACAAACAAATAATATAATGAAACACTCAAACCATTAGAATTTTAGATTTCTACTTAGATATTTTGAATTCGAATTTTGTGATAAAAAAAAATAGAGGAACCTCCTTATCACATTACCCATAAGATGTTCATGGGACATCTTGATCTTTCCTTTAATCATATGTAGAAAATTTGCTCTGGCTGAAAATATAATCGACTCTCGATAAGGTAAACAGAGCTAACTGGTTTTATGTGAAGAGAAAAATAAGCAGATTATTATCAAATTATAGATTTGGTTTTATAATGTCGACGTCCCCGCTTTAATATACAAAAAATATTACATATAATTGATTTAGACACTAGCTGATTTTGTGAGATCCAATATTAAATTTTTAATGTGTTGAGAATGGTTCAAATTCAATTCCCTCTGACAGCTTCAAGCTTCATTTACTAAAGTCTACGAGGAGCCAGTGGGACGTCACATCCATTCCTCATTAAATAATAAAATGTTGAGAGCTGATAAGCTAAATTATTAGGTCGATTAGAGGTTGGAAGTTTCGTAGTTCACCATTTTAAAACTCTCTTGGATGTTGGAGATATTACTATATAAACTGCAAACTCTCCATTGTACTTCGCCAAATAGAAATAGAAGTAGTCCTTGATTTGTATCGCATACAAGTGCATAGTTGCGGGAGTTTCAGTGCCTAGTTCAGCCCAAAATGGCCAAAATTTGGCCACACCTGGCCTATGCCTTGGCATTGTGGTTGCTAATCAACAAAGCAGCTGCCGATGATGAGCCTTACAATGCACCACCGCCCTACTACCAGGAGAAACCACCTCCTTATTATTATAAACCGCCGAATTTTCCTCCGTACATGTACATGTCACCTCCACCTCCTCCATATAAGTATGAGTCACCACCTCCACCTCCATATGTATACAAGTCGCCTCCTCCACCTCCATATATTTACAAGTCACCTCCTCCACCTCCATATATTTACAAGTCACCACCACCACCTCCATATAAGTATGAGTCACCTCCACCTCCATATGTGTACAATTCACCACCACCTCCTCCATACAAGTATGAGTCACCTCCACCTCCTCCATATGTGTACAATTCACCACCACCTCCTCCATACATGTATAAGTCGCCACCACCTCCTCCGTATGTATACAAATCACCTCCTCCTCCTCCATATGTGTACAAGTCACCACCACCACCTCCATACATTTATAAGTCACCACCTCCTCCTCCTATGAGTACAAATCACCCACCACCACTCCATACATATAAGTCACCACCTCCTCCTCCATATGGTACAATCACCACCACCCCTCCATACATTTAAATAAGTCACCACCTCCTCCTCCATATGAGTACAAGTCACCACCACCACCTCCATACATTTATAAGTCACCACTCCTCCTCCATATGAGTACAAATCACCACCACCTCCTCCATACAAGTACGAATCGCCACACCACCCTCCACCATATGTGTATAAATCACCTCCTCCTCCTCCATACATTTACAAGTCACCTCCACCTCCACCATACATGTACAAGTCACCACCTCCTCCTCCATATGTGTACACGTCACCTCCTCCTCCACCATACATGTACAAGTCACCACCTCCTCCTCCATATGTGTACACGTCACCTCCTCCTCCACCATACATGTACAAGTCACCACCACCACCATATTACAAGTAACCTTCATTCTCCTCTTCCGGGTCAAAAGATCACCATCTCCTATATCTGATTCGCCTCCACCACCATTACTCTCACCCGCGCCTTAAACTTTCAAGTCTCCTCTCCCACCATCTCTGTTCCCTCCAACTCCATATTACTACAAAATCTTCACTATCTTCTTTTCCATCTCCTCCCCCTCATTATTATAAATCACCACCTTACCAAGTCAATCACTACTTCTTCTCAGTTGAAGGAAGTCTAATTATTTAATAATACAAAAGCATTTTCCTTACATGGCTTGCAGTTGCATTATTATTTCCTCTATCTTTAAGGGGATTTATCTACTTGTTGTTGAAGTAATAAGAGAAAGGATTATTGCTACAAGAAGTCATCAGATGGTTTCTTGGATGCTTGTGATTACTCCGACTCATGCCCTTATCGAGGCTAGAGCGTTTGCTATATTCTCAAAAATATTTAATTTGCTTTTATGATTTAAATGTTGTTTTCTTGCATCTGTTTGTGGTTATGTGTGCTTATAAAGATTCAAAATAATGTAGTTTGAAGTTTCAATTATCATAAGAAATTCTCTCTATCTCTTAAATTTCCCTCTTGGCTCAATCAATGGTTACGATTTCTCATTTTTTCACTTAAAAATTTAATATGACTTGAGTTAAATTAAACTCCCAGATATTATAACATCAACATGCAAATTACAAAAACAAGTTGGTTTATTAAATCAAAAAAATTAATTAAGTGAAAAAAAGCAAGGTGCCTACGCTTTTATATTTACTAACAGACAAATCAGATATGTTTGTGATCCAGTAGAAACTTGACTTAATTTCAGAAATATTCAAGCTTTCACGACATTGCAATCAATTTTGGAAAAGATCTCAACCCATTAACATGAATGATTTGTCATATCCAATATGTATATATGCTTCCTTGCAACAGTAAATAAAAATAAAAAGAAGACTAGGATGAGCTATGATGTGAATAAGAACATTTTAATATACGGTTCAAATTTGCAGAAGTGAGTTAAGATTTATCTTTTTTTTCTTTATTTTGGTTTTTAAATCCAGTTTAGGAAAAATGATACCTAAAATTAAGAAAAATAAAAAAGAGAATACTGGAATTAAAGTTAAGAAAAATATGTTTTTTTTCTTTTTTTTTTGGTTTGAATGGCAAGGAATTTATTATATGAGTCCCAAAAGAAAAGTGCAGACTCACAAAATGGTACGAGGAAAAAATGAGTATAGCAGATTAGTTGCAACCAACATGAACACATCAACCATAAAGATCCATCAGCCAAAAAACAAAGCAGATTGCTAACAAAAAAGACATAGTAGAAGACAAACTAGAAAAAAGACTTGAAACGCACACAAATAAAAGAAGTCCATAAGCAGTAGCAACAACGCATTAGATAAATTGAATCAGCCAAAGACCTCAATAAGATCATCCAATCGTTCAACCCCATCCTTGGCCAAATGATCAACAAGTTGATTCATTGATCTTGGAGCGTGAACCACTTTCCACTTAAGGAACTTGTGTTTCAGACTATCAATCAAGTACAAGATACTTCCCATTCTCCATTGAGCAAAAAGGGGATTGTTTGTCCATTTAAGAACGTTAGAGGAATCTGATTCCACAATAAGTTCATGAGTTCCAGCCCAAGAACAAGCAACAAAAAAAAAAAGCTTCCTTGATAGCATGGATTTCAGCAAGATTAGAAACCGCAAAGAACCTCTACTTTAAGAGGTGTTAGATTTGCCCAAATTAATTTCCATAAATACTTTTTGGCATTAACACTACCAACAGTAAGTTCACACAAAGATTTGATGAAATAAATATCATTCAGACAATCTTTCCATATAATTTTATCATGCATCTCTTTATCAAGAAAAAATTTATTCATAAGTTCCATAATAAGTTTCCATTGCTCTTGTTCCCAATTAAAACGATTCTTCTCAAAGAAATATTCCAATGCCAAACATCATCATTCCAATAACCATAATCAAGCATAACACCATTTTTAAGTAATGAAAGAGAAAAAAATATGAGAAAAGGCAACTTTAAGGGAAATATCCCTAATCCAAATATCATGTCATAATTTAATACAGCTTACCTTTTCCAAGTAGCAATCCAAAACCAGCTTTGATTAAATATGAAATTGACTATTATCCACTAAGGGACTAACAATCTTTCTCTAAATAGGTAACAATTTCCTTAAAGAAGTGCAACAAGGAATAAGAGAGATTAGGTCCATATCATTATTTTCAGTAATGATGCATCTGCAAACAAAGTCTCTTTCTTCGCCTAAACACCAAATCCATTTATTAAGAAGAGATCGATTCTTGACATGAAAGTCCACAATCCCCAAGCCCTCATTTTCCTTAAAAGCACAAATAGAAAGCCAGTCCACATAATGAATTTTCCGAGAAGAACAATCGCCATGCATCTTCGCTTGTAACTTATTGTTGCTGCTCATTTTGTGGTCTGTATAGTTCACATATATAGCTCGCCATTTGGTAGAATGATCTCTATCCATTTGTTAATTGTATTTTACAACGAAAATAATTTTTTTTTTTCATCTAGGAGTGAAAGGTCTTGGTGTAGCAATGGCTTAGTAAATATAGCATAACAGTCTAATATTATATGCCCTTAAAGTGAAAAAAGTTAAATTCTGCTACAAACTTACTCGTTCAAATGCATAAATAGCATAAGTTTATCACCTCAAACTTGCAAGAGTTGTAAAAAGTGTTAAAACTCAATATACTTAGATATTTTAGAGATCAAAGTACCCCATAAGTCTTTATACTATGACTTTTTCGTCAATTTAGTCCCTCTATCTCAAAATTGGGCAATTTAGTCAATGTATTGTGAGATTTTGTGCAATCGAGTCCCTCCTTCTAATGCCGTCCAAATTGACCGTTAATGGTACTGATGTGGTACTGACATGTCATATTATGCTGATGTGACAATAACAATTAGTCATTAAGTTTAGAGTTTAGAGTTTTAGGTCAAACTAAACCTTAATTGACAAAATAAAGGTTCTGGGTTTGTGGATCTTGGGTTTGTATATCAATTGGTCAGACAATGCTCTAATTTTATTTATGATCTAGAATCTTAATTTGTTGCTGTAGTTGAGTTTGTTGGAGTAAGGATCTCTTTTGTTGTGGTTTTGCCTATATTGTGCATATCTAGGTAGCTTTCTTTTGTAAAGGGTGGATAGTTTACAACAGTTATATTTTTAGTTGATATTTGTTCTAGTAGAGGTTACAAGCCTCTTGAAAGGATTGAGTGATGTACATTATGTTTCTTGGGTATGTTAGTGGTTGTTGTCAAACACAAGGTCTTTTTGTTAACCAGGAGTTTTTTTATTGGATATACTTGTATTACTCCAGCGAAATGAGAATATTTTTTACCAAAATGAGAAAATTCATTAGCCTTTCAGAAAAACATATTGTAACTAGTTTGTACATTTTTTTGTATAAATGGAAAGTTAATAATTTTAATTACTAAAAAATAACCTTTGATGTGTAAAACAGCATTTTTGTATCATCACAATGTTACACAAAACCTAGTAAAGGTACTTGATTTAGTCCCTATAATATATGATAGGTTTTTGTTCAATTCAGTCCATATACTTTACATTTTTATTCAATTTAACTTCTATGACATGGTACAAAAAAATTGACGTGGAAAAATTTTTTTTTAAAAAAAATCCGAGCATGCCACATCAACATAGCCTAACATGTCAACGCGAGGTGTACAAATAACCATCAGCACCATTACCGATCAATTTGGACAATATTAAGGAGAGGGACTCAATTGCATAAAATCTCAAAATACAAGAATTAAAGTAACCAATTTTAAGATAGAGGAACTAAATTGATGAAAACATCAAGGATTTATGGAGTACTTATTCTATTTTAGGCCATTTAAACAACTTTTATATTCTTAAAGTGAAAAAACTTAAATGTATAACTACCAAGAAAAGTGCACTAAAGATTTTAGCTTTTGAGATCTTGTGGTTTAAGTTTTATTCGATTTTGAGATTGTAAGTATTAATATTCATTTTATTTTTCTCCGTAGTGTAATTTTGACATTTTCTCTAATTGTTTATCCTTATTTATTTTGGATTAGTATGCCAATGAGTTTTACCGTATTAATTTTCACATTCTTTTTCTCTACAGTCTTTCACAAGTTAATTTCTTTAATTTCTTTTTATTTAAATTAAAATTATCTTTAATAGCATTAAGATCTTTTATTCAAATGTCGCAAGCTGAATATTGGTAGTTCTTGTGGTTTAAACTTTATTGGATATAGATCTTGGCTGCTTGTTTAATTGATTACCTTTTTTGTTTTATTGAAAAGCTTTGTAGATTATTTCACTATCATTGTTCATTCATGGAAAGTAATTTCAATTGTTGTGACTTAATCATGCTAGCTTCTAACTCTACCCGTATAATACTATGTTAGCTTCACGAAATGATTATTTCGAAGAATTACCATTTCGAGAAAGAGCAAAATAATTATTTCCGGTTTTTCTTTGGAAAAGACTATTCCATCCAAATTAGAATAACATAAAAAAGTGATTAAACAAAAATACCTTTAACTAAATTTAAAAATTAGAAGCATATTGTACACATACAAATATTTGATGATATGAGTGAAAATCTCTGAAAATTCCTCTAATTAATTTTTTGATTAATTTTTTCACTTTTTTTTCAAGAGTTATGAACTTGGACTTTGCTGATTAATTTTCTGATGAATTTTTTCACTTTTTTTTCAAGAGTCACGAACTTGGACTTTGTCTTGATTACGAACACTTGATATCTTGATCACGAACTTCGTTGTCGCTTGACACGAACTTCGCTGTCGCTTGACACGAACTTCGCTGTCGCTTGACACGAACTTCGCTGTCGCTTGACACGAACTTCGCTGTCGCTTGACACGAACTTCGCTGTCGCTTGACACGAACTTCGCTGTCGCTTGACACGAACTTCGCTGTCGCTTGACACGAACTTCGCTGTCGCTTGACACGAACTTCGCTGTCGCTTGACACGAACTTCGCTGTCGCTTGACACGAACTTCGCTGTCGCTTGACACGAACTTCGCTGTCGCTTAATCTTTACTTTAGAAATCTTATATTTTTCTTGATCTCTGAAATGCTCTCAATCTTCAAATGCTTCCCAATCTTTAAATGCTTCCGAATGAATGAAAATGGCTTGGAGGAGCCCCTTATTTATAATGCTAACTGAGAGACTTTTGATGAGAATGAAATCTCTTTGAATTATCTCTAAATTATTTTAATTTATTTAGAGATAAATTATGATGACTCATTAAAAGTCTTTTGATTGGTCGGACTTTGAGTCCTTGAATTTTGATTGGCCGAAGTTAGGTATTATCTCCAAATTATCTTAATTTATTTAGAGATAAATTAAATAATTCAATTTGATTTTTATCTCTAAATTAATATAATTATTAGAGATAATTTAAATGACCAATAATTAAATTTTGATTGGTCAAAAATATGAAGATTATCTCCAAATTATTTTGATTTATTTAGAGATAAATTGGATTACCAATAACTAATATTTGATTGGTCCAATTTAAATATTATCTCTAAATTATTTTGATTTATTTATAGATAAATTGGATGACCAATAACTAATTTTTTAATTAGTCCAATTTAAATATTATCTCCAAATAATCTCAAATATATACCAATAGGTGAATTGGTTCAACTATATGTCTTTAAAATAATCTAACCAATAAATTAATTATTTTATAATTAATTATATGGATAAGATATTATTAAATTCACATGGCGGCACGTAATTGACTGATAATGTTTTTTCTTCTATGTATATATAAGATAAATTTACCTTCACTTCTTCCTTCTTCTTTCTCTTCTACTCCTATGCCTCTCTCTTTTTCTCTCTAAATTTCTTCCACCACCAAAAGGTGGCAGAGGGTGACAGAGGATCATAAAGGATGACAGCGTCCAACCGGTGCCATCACAGTTAGATTCCATTGCAAAAGTGTTGAATTTGGAGTTTATGGCCAGATCTCCACGATCAAATTAAACGTTTCATAACCAGATTCGATTGTGAAAGCATTGGTTCGACATTCTAAGGACCAAATCCGATAGCGGGAAATGTCAATTTGACACTTTAATTGCCAAATCCAACTACAAGGAATGCGAGATCCGCACTCCATTGTGCAAGCACATCTTCTTTCACTAGGAAGACAAAAAAAATCAAAATAAAATTAAAATAAAAAATTTTAAGCTTTAATTATGAATTATAAAAAATTAATATTTCAAATTAAAGAATTAAATTAAAATTTTAATTATAAATTTTTTTATATTTTAACATTTTAAATATAAAAATAATAACATAAAATAAAATAATCATATTAAAGGTTTAATTATAAATTATTAATATTTTTAGAAAACTAAATTAAATTAAATTAAATTCATCATGTTAAAATTTTAATTAAAAATTTATTAATATTTTTAATAATTCTCAAAAAAAATATTTTAAATTTAAAATCATAAATTAGAATAAAGTGTATTTTTATCTTTTCATCATATATTCCTTTATTATTTCAAAGTTATTTTTATCAACCAAATATTAGAATAATGTCATAATGACAATTTCATTATATAAATCAAACTATTTAATAACTATTCATATCCTATTCGATTCATACAAAATAGTTATTTTATTTTTTCTTGATTCTATTTGCAGAGCCAAATGTGTCCGTAGATGTACTACTTCTATCGATTCATGATTAATTTTGTAATCCATTGGTAATGGATATGAAATCTGAACTTCATCGGCAAAAACTTTCATTGAAATTAAGTGATTTTCTTGTAGTGATCGATTGTCTATGCTTCTTTCTTCTTCAACTGAGTCATGTTTACCTACTCATAAGTAATTAATATTTACATTGAAAAAAATTAAAGAATAAGGTGGAAATATGATCAAACTTTAAAAAACAAAACAAAAGAAAGAGTTAAAGGGGACACCAAATATAATTAGAATGTAAGATCCAATTTCGAGATCTTAAATTGAAATACAAAACAAAATACACGTGAAATTTTGCAGGAATGGAGACGCTACCTTCAATTGTGAGGCAATAGCCCAATAATTGGCCTCTATCAATAGGAATAAACAAATAATAATAAAACACAGAAGAAATGCTTGCTTAAATCGTTGAACAAGTTACTAAGGTTAAGTTGGAAATCAAAGTTCTGCAAGACTGTTTGAAGTGAAGGTACATAAAGAAATTGATGGAGATTTCCATTATAATGGAAAATGTAATTACATTCTACATTAAAAAACCGTTACATACTCGTAATAATATTAATATACTAACAAAAAAAATTGTTTCTTTAGCTTAGGCCATTGAACTTTTTCTCTGAAGCTGCATCTGCCATCTCATGTTGGAGTTGACCATTTGAGAAAATGTGAATATTATTTCACCTAAGTGTAATGTTTCTTTTTTCCCTATTCATTGGTAAAGGTAAACAATCAGAAATAACCTCTCTAAACCCTTTTATCTGTTCCGCCCTTTGTAGCCTCAAATCAATACAACTTAAAATCTTCTTCTATAAAAATCCTAAGCCTACATATCTTGTTCTCCCTTTTTAATGCAGCAATGGTGGAATCCAGTTCATTTGTAGCCTCCGGACGCAGAGGCCAAAAATGGAAGGCTTTACACACTAGCTGGGTCATGGTCCACAAATTTCTTGGGTCAGGATTCATAGAAGCAGCATCACATTTGTCGAAGTTTTCAGCTTGAATACACGACATGCCGCCTGGCCCTTTTTAGCCCCATTTAAGCTCGCCTCTTCCTTGGAGAGACATCCCCTTCTCTTTCTTTGCTGAGTGTTTTTGGTCTCCCTCAGCCATGTCTTCTGCATCTTATTCCTTTTCCTCTCAGGCACTAAAGATAGGCATAGTCGGTTTTGGCACATTTGGGCAGTTCCTGGCAAAGACGATGATCAAACAAGGCCACACCATAAGTGCAACTTCTCGGACAGATTATTCCCAGCTCTGTCATCAATTGGGTATTTCATTCTTCAGGTAGCTTTGATTCTAACATGAATTTAATGAAATCAACGGATATTTTATGCAAAAGCCAACACATTTATTTTTGTTCAATTCTTTGTTTCGGCGTTGTTAGGGATGTAGCCGCATTCGTTGAAGCAGATAACGATGTCGTATTGATAAGCACATCCATCCTATCCCTGTCAAAGATGCTCAAGTCAATCCCATTCCGTTGCCTTAAACGCCGGACACTCTTCGTCGACGTGCTTTCGGTCAAAGAACACCCAAGAGACGTTCTTTTGCAAGTATGATGTTATGCTTTTTCGTCACCAATGATAGATCATATTTCTGTTTCCAGGTTGAGAACAGGATGGAGGTGCTTTTGTTCAGGTTGTGCCAGAGGAAATGGACTTGCTTTGCACTCATCCCATGTTTGGACCCGAAAGTGGCAAGAATGGGTGGAAAGATCTTGTTTTCATGTATGACAAAGTTCGGGTGAGGGATGAAGCTACGTGTTCCAGCTTCCTACACATCTTTGAACATCAGGTAAGCCAATGCTTATTTGATTTGTCTTTCCTTTCCAGTCCTCTGAAGAATGGAGAAAACATAATTTTAACAATACACTGATTTGATAGTCCACGTTCTTATATGTTGTGATAGGGTTGCAGAATGATGCCAATGTCCTGTGAAGAACATGACAGACTGGCTGCGAGGAGTCAATTTCTTACTCATGCAATCGGCAGGTATGAAGTGAACCTCATCCAATTTCAACCTTATTTCCTTTCAACAACTATAAAAATAAAATTATGCTTTCTACTTTGCTAGGATTTTGTCAGAAACCGGAATTGAATCTACATCAATTAACACCAAAAGCTTCGAAACACTAGTTAAATTGGTAAGTTCAATCAGCCGACTTAGTCTAATGCATTTTTCTCTTCTCCAATTTGCTCCAAGCTTCTCAGAAAGGGTAGGAGCTTTAGAAACATTCAAAGTTTAGGGATGTAATAATATGAGATTAATTGCAGAAAGAGAGCACCACCAATGATAGTTTCGATCTGTTCAGCGGATTATTCATCCATAACAGATTTGCTAAACAAGAGGTATGCAGCTATTACCTGTGTTCTACAAATGAATTTTGCATTTTTTTTAAAATTGATCTACTTTCTACTAACAAGTTTACAAAATAGAAACATTGACGTTTATCACCAATGATGCAGTTGATGAATCTAGAGCATGCTTTTCAAATGGTCAAGAAGAAGCTGCTGAAGACAGTGAACGAAGAGCAAATTCCCAACAAGTCTCACCATCAAATGGACTCTTGCTAACAAAAATGTTCTATTAATTGTTGACTCAGTCTTTTTTCACCCTTTTCAAATTTTTAAGAATAATCTTTAAAAACATTGGTACGGTCATAACAAGCCAAGCAAGCTGCAGGCTACTTCCTGTTTGAGAATAGCAAACAGTAAGGACATTATATAATTAAACATACATTTCCTCAGATGCTAAGTAACTCTTGTTAATTTCATAAATCTGTTTTTTTAGCTTTTTCTTTTTGTTACAAGGAGTATACTTTACCAATCTCCCCCTAGTCCTCCCCCCCACAGCTTGAGCTAAGCCCAAAATGAATAGCATGAAATTAGAAACCACAAATTTCTAAACTCAGAGCTTAATACAGTCAGCACAATCAGCATATCCAGCTAGAGGTTATAAAATCACTCATGGCAAATATTACATAACACAATGAGAAGAATAAAACAATGAAAGGAACTGTGGACTCTTGAGGGACGCATTCAAAATGCCAAACCAATATTTGAGCCCGAAGTCTAAATTTTCCAAAATTTTTCTCCTGAATGTATGTTATGTTTAATGGGCAGATGATACAGATATAGTTGAATAAAATGTCAAGAGCTTTCCTGCGTTGCTAGCAACAGATAGACTCCCATGGTGGATCTAAGGACATGGTGAAGATTCGTAACTGCAAACTATAGCAGTGGCTTTACAAGACAAGCTAATTTCCCTGATGCTAAACTCTACAAAACCGAATAGATTACAGAAGAGCCCTTAAGTCAACATAACTTGTTTTGGAGAAAAGGTTTCAAATCAAGGGTGCAGCCATTCATTCTGTTATTAGACAATTTGAAGCTGTATTGAATCAATGTACTCGCAATGCATTTGCGGCTAATGCTCGAATGCCATCCTTGCATTCTCCATTAATTTGTAAGAATTAATGTTGGAATTTTACTGTGGTACCATGGTTAAAAGGGGTGTAAAAAACATAAAATATAAATTAAAATGACAACATAAAATACAAAATCACCTCACTGATTCTTTAATTCATCAATATTGGCCTCTTCTGCAGTGTTGCATTCCAATGCAGCAGGATTAGGAGAATCTGGAGTCTGGTAAGAAGTTGGTTTATTCTTCCGAGTTTGCAGTCCCGAAAAGCGAGCAAGATCAACCCATTGCTGTTGCATTCAAGTAAGCAACAAAACTAAATTAACATTCTAGACCTGCATGACTGTTGCTAGAGGATGCTATTACAGGTGGTACTGATGGTGACATGGAACCAGACTAAAAGGTATCTCAGCGTGCATTAATCAAATCTATGAAGCAGTTAACAGTTAATGTAGAAATTAAGTAAAATGAAACTTATCACTGTCAAAGGTAAACCATGCAGTTCCTGTTCAAATTAAATAGCGTAACTCCGGCAGCATAATTTAATGTAGTAATATGAGATTACATAGTTTCCAATGATCTGGTCCTCAGAATTATGATACTGTTGCTACAACATGTCATGACCTAAGGGATCTAAATATAATTAGACATTGCGATTAAGAATCAGAGATAAATGAAAGTACCAAATGAAGATAATTCTAACCTGAGTTCCCCAGTAGGAGTTGACAGTCCGAACAACAAAAGAAAGCATATTCACAAGTAATGTTTGAGAAGAAAATTCATCAGAAATGCGATGCTCCACAATTCCAGCAATGATCTGCATTTAGTTCATTTTAATTTTATACCAACCAGATACCAGACAAAACTAAAAGTACAAATATGCATCAGCCCAAATGAGAGAGGAGAGTGTTAGTCCAGGTCTAAACCAGGTGAGTGTCAGAGTTTACCAGCAAAGTATTTGAAACTGTAACCTTAATCTAACACAACTTTCTCTTGATCATTTGATTCGAGAAAATCCTAATGAAAAGCAAATATTCTTTTGCATACAGCAGATACATTGTCATACCTTACATATTCACTGGATGGAGGAAGGAATACATCTTTCCATTAAATTATCATGAACACATGCCAAAAACTATATTGCTCAGACTTGGGTGTGAATGTTAGACAACAACATGTGTCTGACACAAGTAAATTAAATTTTCTTAAATTTTTCCTTATATTTGGACAGCCAAGCCCCTGTTTCAATGACCACTTTAATGGTTTAGCATTAGATATGTATCTGACACAACAGTTGTACTTTAAGAATATGAAAAGTCGGAGCAGCATAGACCAAAATGCTTTTTCATAATAAAGCAAAGAAAGTTCTTGGCGTGGCCAAACTTATTTGACAAGCATTCTTCTTACCTGATAACGAAGATTTGCAGATGTCCCTAGAAAGCATCCATAAACAGCAGCTGTTTTGAGTATCGGTGATCTTCTAATTTGTTGCTCAGAAACCAATTTTGGATTGAGAACTTTGCGTATCGCATACAAAATATTTGAGGCAGCCACAGTCCCAATGCTAGAAATAAATCCAACACTAGCCAGTTTCAGACCACCAACGAGCACAGATGCTAATCTGTGACTGAGATTCCAGTCCTTCCCTGCAAGATTCTTCTGAAATGCATTATCAGGTATTGAACCAAGGAGACCTTTTAATGCATCCATGTTGTCAACTCCATCAGCATATGAGAGGAATGAGATAGTTGGGGCAGGGAGCCATACAGTAAAAAAATCAACAACTGATCCCCGGACTGTATCCGTAATTACATAGTCAAGCTCTTCAAAGAAATTTTCTTTACGCCTCTCATACTGTGCCAAGAGAGTAGTTGTTATCGATATAGCTTCTTCTATAGCTAATCTATGCAAGAATTTGGGATCTGCTAACAATCTTTCTCTGAAACCCTGTATCAAAATGATCCATTGTCAGTTGAGCACTTTTCGATTTGGACAAACTTGTAAGTGATTTGTTTATTCTATACACATCACAAACAGACACTAGTTTGGTTCTCATAAGAGGTACCACTACTAACAAACCAGTACCTGTAAACAACAATTATTATGAATAAATTTCACTTCTAGAAAGTGAATATACCTGGAAGCGATGGGTGAGCTCTGAAATAAGAGGATATTGCTCCAAATCAAAAAAGTTCTGCAGGACCTCGGGAGATACTAAACCAAGGTCAAGTCCCTTTTGAAGGTCCTGTTACATGTTTCACAAATAATCTTCATGAGAACAGAAGAGTGATGTCCTTAGAAATTAGATAAATGATAACTTCATAATAATCAAAATAATAAGGAGGAGAGAAGGAAGAAAAGGAAGATAAATAGCTTGCTAACCAACAAAGATATCATGTCCAACAAACTCATGCAAATCAAAACCTTAATACAATATTAAGGAATCTTCAGTTAAAAATTTACATCAAAGAACTTATCCCCCTTCACGCTAAACATACCTTAATTCATGGAATATCCAATAGCAATCAAGAAAGATCTAAATAACATGGGAACAGTAGTTCTTAGATTCTCATCTGCTGCCTCACAGGAGATATTACAGGATCCATACTTAAGTGTGAAAACATCTAGGGAACTAACTAATAAACAACATTTTTTTTTACTTAATAGCTTAGTCACCTTAGACTTATAATCAAGGAAACCGATTTTGTGGTTTTGAAATTCAAAAAATAATGAAATAAGCAAGGTTTCAGCAAGCTCAATCTATAAATGACTTGTTCAATCTTTGCAATTGCCATTTCTTCTCTTTTCAGTACAATACAAGTAAATCAGTCGCATTATCGTTTTGTTTTTACCATCCTGGTGCATATGTTATTGTAGCCACATGAAATTTTACAAAATGGTAACTGTGTTTCAAAAAGATTCTCAAGTAACTCATAAAATACAACGGAACTTTCAAACTCTATTACTACAGCGTCAAGGGAACTGCAAACCATACTGATTTTCCACATAAAAAAACTGGACAAGCATATTCCTTTTCCTTAAAAATATCCAAAAAGGTATCATCTAACCTTTATAGCTTTATAAACTTTATGCCACATATTGAAAGTTATGAAGTCAATTGTGTGTGTGCATAAGTGTCTGTGTGTGTCTATTCAGCACAAAGTTTGAAAACTTCAAGCTTTGCGTTTGTACAACTGTTAAAAAACATATAGAGTTTTAAAAAAAAAAAAATTGTTCAAAAACCATATGTAACTGTTGAGTGTTTATATTAATGAAGCTTAGCACAAATCATTTCTTAAAATATACAGAAGAAAAAAAAAAGAAAAACCTTAAATCAGGCAAGCAATGCATCCAAAAAGAGCATAAATACCAATCAAATCAAGGACATAAAATATACACTTCCATGAAGACTGAAGCAAAGCTAACCTGGGGTAGGGCATCTCGCTGCCTGCCAGCTGCATTCATAACTCTAGCAATTTCAGCACGATCAAAACAATTTCTACTGCATGGTCTGGCTGCAGAATACCACAAAAAATCAGCGACAGGGGCGTCTCCCTCTCTTCTTATGTACTGCCTTTCAGGATCAAGGAGTAAAACTACTTGGTTCTTCTTCTGAATCTTCTTTGAAATTCTGGCAGGCACCCCCGTCCCTCTGGAACCAAATTGGACATGGTTTGCACCTGTTACCACTACTAACAAACCAGTACCTCCTTCATCTGCAACTTCGTTTAGAATAATTTGGGTCATGTTATATTCCTCTACCACTCTTGCTTGTGCAGATAAATATGAACTTGGACCAAATGGAATTGACTGAGTGGGGAAATGATTATCCATTGATGATCTGCGTGAAATAGAACTAAAGCCTGAGATGAACCCAGAACCAGCTGGAGGGGCATATACATTACGCTCAGCCTTGGAGAGGCCACGAATACCTTCAGCTTGCACAGTCCTTAGGATCTATAACAAAAAAATTAGAATACTCCATATTCACCATATGGCCTTGTGCACAAACTAAAATGATAGAATGAAACCATAAAAATGAAACAAAACGAAAGCAGAGGAACAAGATTTTAGTCATTTTCCCTTTTTTTTTTTCCATATGAGACCACAATTATCTTGGGTTACACTATGGGAGAATGGAGTTAACCCATCCCATCCCCAAGATTTGAACTCGACACCTCAAGTAGTATTCTCAGATTCAAAAAATGTGTCTTTTGAACATGAAAGCTCCTAAGAGGATCTATTACAACAAACTCACAAGACATTCTAGCCGTTAGACCCAGAAAAGAAAGTTGAAGTTGTAGTAATCAGCACTTTTCAACAAACCAAGAAGGTGACAAAGCAACCAGTTAACACAGAAAGGATGATGCCATAGTTGATGCAAAGAGGATGAGCAGTACAACATTCCCAGAAACTATGTGAGAGCATAAGAGTACCTTTAATGGAGTTCCACAAGCAACAAGGCGAACTTCATTATCGCGACAATAATTTAAAAGAGGCTCATACTCCTGCCACCTTTGAGCTGGCCAATGTGAAACATAAGATTTCAATTCTTCTCCATCTATCCTGTCGACAACATCACTCTCAGAATTATAAGCATTCTCAACACTTTAAAACGCAGATATTCCAATCTCCCCACTGATACACATTGCTTCTATTTTAAACAATATATACACCAATCGTCTATAATACATGTATAGGATCAAACTTTTAGAAATAACAAATTATTTAATTAGAAACAGAAATTATAGCAATAGAAAGGAACCTTTTATCCATGAACTGATTGAGTTGTTTTTGTAAATCGGAAGGAAAAGCTTCGATAGCCAAAGCCAACGGCCTCTCGCTTTCGACACACCGTTTTTTTAAATTCTTAACAATCTCAAGCTCCAAGTCTTTATCATCTCTAATCGGAACTTGCTCAGCTTCCCCTAAATAAACAATCCTCGCGGTCATCAACTTCTCCCACACTTTCTTCTTATCTTTCCCCACCGCCAACGGCTCCCCTATAGCCGTCGCGTCGTATATCCTCGCCGAGACTACCTCCTCCTCTTGCACCACCTTGGGAGGAGGCAGAGTCGACGGCGGGGAAGGTGACGTCATTTCCTCGGCCATTGAATGCAAATACGGTGATTGTTGGAGGCAAGAGCCGGCGGCGGCGAGGAAGGGAGTGAGTAAAACGGCTCTCCGAGCGACGGAATATTCGGCGGAGGAGGAGCGACGGCGAGCATCCTCGCGGTTGTATTGAGCATTGAGGGATAATGTGACGTGGCGAGTTAAGGAAGGGAAACGGCGTCGTGTAGGAGGGTATGGCGCAGCTACAGAATTAAAATTAGTGGTGGTGATGTGGGTGTGGGGCTTCATTCTTCCGGGGAGAAGAAGAGAGTTTTGACTCATTGGTGCTTACTACATGGCTGGCCTAGCCAGGGAGCGAATCAGGCATCTGTAATTTGTGCCCTTATTATTCGAAGATTGAGATGCCACTTTGGTTGAGTCAGATAATTTGGAGATTGAAATGACTGTTTTTGGCATTTTGTGACTTCGTGTATAGCAACTTCCACGTTGCCAGATAAAAAAAATTAAAATAAGATATGGTTATTTGAATGCCAGATAAGCATGTGTTTCATGTGGTTTGAGCTTATGGAATTTTTATTTTTATTTTTTATTTTTGAAAGAAAAAAAATATATATATATATATAATATGTGGTTTTTACTCTTGGCAGAAAAACACTAATCCTATTTCACGTTATCAATTTTTTTTTAATTCTTGAGTATTAATTGGAGGAATTAAATATTCAATTCAAAACACATTTCTTTCACAACATACATATTTATAATTAGATCAAGCATTATGGTGTATCGATGTTATTTGATCTCTTTCTATCAACGACAACTTTTAAAGCGTGTACGGTTGGAGTGAATGAAATAGTCATCTTCTCATTCCTTTTACTAATTTAACATTATATATTAATAGAAATTTAAAAATAAAAAAATATGTTAATTATATAATTAAAAAATTATAAAAATAATTAACTAATAAATTAATTATAACGTATTTTAAAAATCATTAATATATTACTTATTAATTATTAATATTTCAAATAATTTAATATTTCAAATTTCAAAAATTAAATTAAAATTTTAATGCTTTACTATTTTAAAAAAATAAAAATAATTAATTAATTTAAAATTTAAATTAAAAATTATTAATACTTTTCATAAATTATAAAAAAATTATTATTTTCATATTTAAAATTATTTTTTATTTCACATCACAATAATATAATATTAACATAAAAAATAAAAAAATGATACAATTATATCATCATATTTCATTATCATACATTATCATTATTTATTATAATATATCAACACATGACATAAAATTATAAATAATATTTTAACACATAATAAATAATTAACTATTAATTATAAAAATTTATTTAAATCAAAATAAAAATATTAAAATTTAATTAAATATATTAAATAATAAAAAAGTAATTTTTCAAAAAATAATTTAGAATTTTTTAAGTATTGTAATCACCCCATTTGTCTGGAGTTATCTTAGTAATAAAAATAAATAATTAATTAAAAAAAACAGAAAAATACAAAATTAAAAAAAAAAGATAATGATAAAAAAAAGATTTTGAATGAACAACCAAAAGCTAATCCTATAATTTTTTAAATTCATTTTTTAGAAAAAAAAAAAAGAAAGAAAATCCTAATCTAATATCAACACAAAAATGAGTATAAATTCCCCATGATCAGCCTAGAATCAACATTGAGGAATGAAGAGGAAAAGATAAAAAATTGCCAAAGAGTTTTTAATTTTTGGGTTTTCAGATTTCAAATTTAAATCAAAGGAAATTTGGTTTGATTTTAAAGAAACAGGTCCGATTAAATGTTAGATGGGCTAGAAAAAGAAGTTTCTAGGTAAACTTTGAGACAATTCTGGCACCTTGAAACAATTCCAGCACCGACAATCAGGGGCGAAGAAGCAGCGGCCAACGGCAAAGGCAGCAACGATCGGCGGTAGAGGTAGCAGCAACCAGTGAGGAAAGGACATTATAGAGAGAGATCTTTAGAGAGTACAAAGGAAATACAAGAAAAAAAGAAGTTTAGTGTATTTATAGTAAATCAAAACGATGCCTTTTAAGAAAACTCTACAAGTGCAAAACTACTCCATTTTGCAGTTAAAAAAAACCTTTCAGGCTAGATCCAAAAGATTCAACCCGTGCCCACTCTTCAAGGCTCGTGTATGATCCAAAGTCCAATAGTTTAAGTTCCTCGCTTTTGAGATTCTAAGCCCACTGAGGTCAGATTTATTTTTGGTTTCTTTTAGTTAATTTTTTATATCTCTCTTGCATTATCTTGATATTTTTATTTACTTAGATTAGATATTTAAATAAGGAGATAAATAATGAATTTTAGTTAAGGAATCATATCATAATTATAAAAATAATTATAAAGGTAAAATACCCCCATTTCTCAAAGTTTTAATTAAAATGTCAAATAAGTATATTAATTTTCGAAATGTACATCATGCTTAAAAAAATTTCGTTAGATACATAAATTTGACTGTTAGTCAACTATTAGTATTTTTATTAGTTTAATAATATGATAATATTGAAAGGATAATTTTATCTTTTATTAATTTAAAAAATTATTATTATATAATTTTTATTAATTTTTAAAAAATAAGAAAAAAGGAAGCACCCATCGATGCTTGTTGAATTTTTTTATTTTTTTTCAAAAAAATTATATAATAATAATTTTTTAATTAATAAAAAAATGTATTTTAATTTTTTCATATTTTTCGTTAATGTTGTTTTAACTTTTAAAGCGAATGGTCCATTTCAAAAACTAATTGACCCACTTAAAATTTTAATTAAAATTTATAAGGGCCTTAAAATCTAGAACCTATATAAGAAAGCTTTACAAAAATCGAAGGATTTAATTATTGTCAGAAGCAAAGATGTGATGCTTTTGAAAGAAAACAAATGAGAAAAAGAAAATGGAGACAACAAAAACCATGGCTAAGAGAAAAATCAATTCAATCTAGGAAATAAAGAAGGGCAATAAAAAAAACCCTTCAAATGCCAAAAATAACACCGTTTTGGCATAAGTTGCACAAAAATAAATTGATTCAATTGAAAATGATAGATGTTAACCAATTGACCTAATTAGTTATCTTAATTTTATATATATTAATTATAAATAAATAGTTAATATAAGATAGAATAAGGTACAATCATAAAAAATAAAGTTTAAATTACAATTCATAATTATTTACAAATAAAATATTTCAAGAAGATTACAAGTAGTAACTTTCTTGAATTTTTGAAAGTAAGAATAATTATAAAACCTCACCATAAGTAATGGGAGGTAATCTTGTAATTTATTTTTGCAAAGAGAATTATTTATAAATAATTATTATAAACATAGAAAATAATAACAAATAAATAATAAAATTTATGAATTAAAAAATTTTAAGGTTTCATAACTTAAAATATAGGATGAAAGAATAATAAATATTTTAAATCTTACAGATTAAAATATAATATCATAAAAATTAAATAAAAAATAAAAGCCGTCTGATGATGAAATCTTAAAAAAGTTGTAAGAAATAATTTCAAGAGAAATTCTAGGTGAGAAAATCTTCTAAAATTCTGTCAACAGTATTGGAAAATTTTTGAAAGTTTTCAATATAAGGATTTACATGATAATAATAATAATAACAAAATAACAAAAATAATAAAAGTGAAATAAAAGAAACTTACAAATAAAAAAATTATAAGTAAGTAAAAGTTCTCCTATGATGAAATTTTGAGAAAGTTATAAGTAATAACTTCAAGAAATTTCTCAGTGAAAAATTTTTTCTTGATTTCTGCCATAAGTATTAATGTGTTCAAGAAACATTTTGGGTCCTTTTGTTTTGAAATAAAATATTCTCCAGAAAATGTTGTCAAGACTTATACTTATTTGGATGATAGAAAATTTATTCTAAATGTAAAACATTTTATCAGTCAATAAGAAAAATACCCATTAATTATGTAAAATGTCTTACACCATTAAGAGATGTAAGACATTTTTCAGATAACTGGAAAAATACTCTTACTCTAAACTTAGTAGTATAGGTTTGATGAACATTAATATTTAACTTAAAATATTAAAAAATTAACAAAATCATTTAATGCAATTAAAATATTTATATATAAATTGACTAAATCTTACTAATAATTATAATAAAAAATATTTCAATAATGGTCACTTAATAAATTCACATTTATAAATATAAGTTTTGGATGTTTACACAATTGACAAATATTAATATTTTTATAGTGTTATGGTAGAAACACTGATGAGATGGAAATTTTTTTGAAAATTAGGTTACTTTCAATATAGATACGTGGTTAAATGCTTTGAAAAATATTATTATTTATTTTATCTATTTTCATTTTCAGTCTTAATTTTGATCTAAAATTAGTGAGACTCAAATGGTACCATTCTTTTGTAATCAATTCTTATTTATCATTTTAACACCTAACTTAACAATAGAAAATATTTTTGACAGTTTATCCGAACGATAGAAAATATTAAATTTTCTTGTAAAATATTTTGCATAGAAAAAATTTTCTCTCAGTAAATTATTTTTTGGTTACCAAACAAACCCTTCAATATCAAAGAATTTTTTTGTTGTAAAATGCTAAAATAAAAACAAAACATAAAAATAATTAAGAAAACTAAAAACTAGATATCGAATTTAAAATTGATTTATTAAAGCTAAAAGGATATGGGTGATAACCTCTGTGTGGGCATGCGAAATGCTTCCACTTAAATTAAACCTTTTCCATTGGTAGCTTGTAATGGGTAAGAATTAAGGTGCCATATTAGTTTAAAATGGATGCCAATAAAAAGCAATTTGGGAACCTTTAGATTCCTGTGAAACGTTGTTTAGCCTATAATAAGTCATAAAAAGCCAAATTCAAGTAGAGCCTTACCAAACCCATCATTTAGAAAAGTATCCAAAATTTACACATAAAGAGATTTTTTTTATATGTAAAAGATTTATTTTCGATATGGTTGTTTATTTAATTGTTCATGCATCAATATAATTTTCTCTTAAAGGTATTTCTTACATAACAATATGGTAGAAAAAACCTCAATTACATCCATGAAAGGCCAACTTCATTTAATATCTACCCTTTTTCTATGAGAAAAGCACTTTAATGTGAAGGCTCAATCAAAGCAACGCAGCTTGTAGAAGGTGATTATTTGAAAAAAGATTATGTCTCTAACCTCCCTGAGCAAGTTCACATTAATATCTAACAAAATGACTTCACAAATTTAATTAGCATTTGGGATAATTGGGGAACATCTAAATGGCGAGAATTTCAACAAAAATATGGGTATATTACAACACTTTTTCACATACCCATTGATGACCAAATGATTAAAGCCATAGTTCAATTTTGAGACCTTTTGTATAACTGTTTCATTTTCAATGAGGTAGACATGATGCCAACCATTAAATAGTACTCAACTTTACCCTATATGTGCCTTCTTATATCGATACATTTTTTTTAGAACCAAACATATTGATACATGGGCCAATGAATTGATACATTTTGTCCATTTCAGAAAAATAAAAAAGGTAAAAACGTATTTTCACACCCTAGCTTATATATATATCACATTTTTGGAGGTTAGCAACTCTTAGTCACATTTTGAAAGTAAAACCCTAACTCTTAAGCTTTCCCAATCCATTTTTGCTCAAAACCACCATTTTTGAAAAATTTGACCTTAGTTTTGGGTTTTAAATGAAAAATGAGACTTTTCCCTTTCTTGAATCTTTAAACCTGGGATCTTTTATTTTGAAAATATGGTTTATTGTTCCAGAATTATTGATGTAAGGAATTAGAGGATATGGGTGGATTTTCTCACTTGCTATAGCTCACCTA